CCACATCATTAGTGGACATTTGAAATTTGCCAACTAGAATGGTCGGTTAACCGATGTGACAGTTAATCGGGGGTCAGATAACTGATGCTCTATTGTAGATATAAAGTAATTTGACTAGAGATAGGTGGTTAAACTACATCTCATGATAAATTGAATAAGTAGAAATAAATTAATATTGAATGACTATAATAGTATGAGTAACCTATATGGCTATATCAAAATTAATTAATTATTTAATAATTCTGGAAGCGAAGATTGAATGGAGGTCTGGTAGTATCACTGGCAATGCACGTACATGGTAAACAGGAATTTCAGGTTTGAGTCTTGCTCCAGACCAATCTTTTTTTTCTTCCAGAATATTTTAAATTTAGATATACACATGCACATATTTTTATGATGACTTTCAATTAAATTTTCTGTATCTAAAAGTTCTTTAATACTATTATAATTACTGTGGTATTCAACATATGACATTTTTATAAATTATATGGATTAATAGATAATACTGAATGCATTTTCCAATATGAAATATTTAGCCGTGACTTCTAAATTAATTGGCTGATAAGAAAATCTCACTGCTAAAAACAAGTGAATCAGCATGTTTTGTGAATACTTAGCTAATCAACATTTCATAAATGTTTCACTTGAATGATTGCATTGAAATATTTTCTATAACTTAAAAATTATTCAAGCATCTAAATCAGGGCTTCTTAAACTATGGGTTGTGACCCCATTTGGGGTCGCTTAGCAAAATCTTGGGGTCGCGAGATTTTAATGCAAAATATTGAAAATAATTTGTGAGAGTTTGAAAATGGCAGGCTTTGTATCATAGATTTCGTGAGTTGCGCTTTGTGTCACTTCTGGTGCAGCGAGACAATGATTCAGCAACACTGATTGTAGTGTGAACTAGTGTAGTGTTGTCGCTTTTCAGTGTATTCAGTTGTCTCTGTTCCATTGTAACACAAGAGTGAACTGTGGTAGTACACCATTATTGCTTTTGCAAATTTGTATATATCTTTATTTTATATTTTTTTGGGTCGCAAAAAAAATCACAATCATAAATGGGGTCGTGAATAAAAAAAGTTTAAGAAGCCCCAATATAAATAANACTATCGTTACTTTTTGCCCAGCGAAGCGGGTCCTTGCAGCTAGATTCTAGATTACTTAGAAAAACAGTCTTTTATATATATATATAAAAAACTATACTATTACATACAAATAAAAACCCAGCGAAGCGGGATCTTGCAGCTAGTTTAATATAAATATGTTACGACAAATGTTTTCAATCCCAATAGGATCTGTGTCAGGTCCAAAAATGTTCGATAGAATTAGAATGCTAAACAATCAATTTTTTGTTCTAATATTTACAGTTCCAATGATTTAAAATATTTAAATTTGATTGTTTAGCATTCAATTCTATCAAACATTTTTGGACCTGACGCAGATCCTATTGGTCAAAAACATTTGTCATTATGTATTTATATTAAATTATATTTGCTGGTATATTTTGAAGGTTTTGTTGGTGTTATTTAGTAATTTATAACCAGCTTTGGAAAGATTTAGAAATCTAATAGCATAATGATGTAATTTAATAGTAATAGTTAAAATTTAATTAATTTATTTACTAAAATATTAATGAAATAAAAAATTTTGCAACTGATTACTGTATTTCCTTGAATTAACACTTGGGTACTTATTTATTTGTATGGATCAAAATCCTTGATGCTTATTCAGCCAGTGACAATTTAAAGCCTGGCACTTAACTGTTATGTTGATTATTTTATCTACAGTATTTTATTTTGTTAGACTAGTTGGTGGAAAGCTTTTAGTAAAAATTAAAAAAAAAGCAACTTCAGGCTCATTATTGCTAAATTATAAAAGCAACTTGTATTTTAATTTTTACTGTATATTAGCAATAAAAATGATTTTTCTCTCAATAGTTCAATTAATCAATCACTATATAAATCACTTATGTATAGTTTGTGTTCTGCTGTCCTCCTCATCTTCTTGATATTCTTAGTTCTCCATCTTTGATCTTACAAACTGACTCAGAAGCTTCAAGCACTGGCAGGCCACAAGGGTGAATTGAAAAGTTTCTGGAATGACAATGAAAACAAAACAAAAAATTTCCAATTTATGCTTTATTTTTCAATTTAATCTCCTCAAATCTTAACACAATTGATCCAATGTTTCTCCAGCTTTTCAATTCCCTCCTAGAAGTGATTTTCTCCAAGGCCACCAAAATAGCTGTTTACAGCATCAATCATCATTAGACCAAAATCTCTTCATTAGACCAAAATCTCTTTCCAGCTGCAAACAGGTAGAAGTATGAGGGACTAAATCCAGTGAATATGAAGAATGTGGAAGAGTTTTGAACTTAATTTCTGCCAGTTTTTGCTGTGCAACTGCACTTAAATGAGTGGGCACATTGTCATGGTGAAACAATACTTTTTTTTATCATACCCAGATGTTTTTCCTGGATTGTTGGTTTGAGCTTGTCCAAAAGTGTTGAATAGTATTGACCAGTGACAGATTTTCCTTTCTCAAGATAGTCAATTAACAAAATTCCTTTGGCATCCCAAAAAACTGATGCCATAACCTTACCAGCCAAATGAATGGTCTTTGCCTTCTTTGGAATCTGCTCACCATCGCAAATCCACTGTTTTGATTGAGCTTTTGTTTCTGGTGTATAATTATAAATCCAGGTTTCATCCATTGTTACAAATTATTGCTTGAAATCTATTGGATTTCTCTTAAACAACTCTTGGCAAAAATTTGAGCTCAAATGAATTTTTGTTCCTGACTGAGCAAATGCAACACCCATCTTACAGACAACTTCTTTAAACCCAATTTGTTACACAAAATATTAACTACTCATTTATAGGAAATCACACAGCTTCTTCAATTTCATGCACTTTGATTTAGTGATCTTCTAACACCATGTCATGGATTTTATTCACAATTTCTGGAGTGGTAGCAGCAGTTTTTGGATGTCCTGAACATGGTTCATCGTGTGTGTGTGTGTGTGTGTGTGTGTGTGGCCACACTTAAATTCTGTGGAACTTACTGTGGAAAATGAAAATGATAAATCGCCAAGAATATTGCCCAACCTGGACTTGATTTCTGCTGAAGGTAACAGCTCAAATCTTGTTTTTCTCCATGTATGAACAGGCACACAGGGTATCTCAATTTAATGTTTGTATAAAGCTAACAATTGGCCAATTGATGTGAAATTTGGAGTCAATACATACAAAATATCTGCTAATGTAGTAGGAGAAAAATGTTTCCAAACAAAACATCCCTAGTGGCCATTCTGGAAACTTTTCAATCCACCCTCATATTTTGTTCTTCTGATGGTTCAGAAAACTGCCAATGCCTTTAAAAACAGATCAATTCATTCTTTAAAACATAGATCAATTCATTCAATTACTGAAGATGTCATCAAGCACTGGAGATTGCATAGACCTATATGCAATCTCCAGTGCTTTCAACAACAGACCATACACAATCTCCTAAAGCTTGATGACATCTTCAGTAATTGAATCCCACACCTTCTTCACCCAGTGAATGACTTCTTTGTGTTCAGGAGGATGCTGGTTTCCAGCAAGACTTTAAGACTTCTTGCTATGCAATGTCCATGCCTTGTATTGTTTAGAATAGTAGTCCTTGAAAAGTTAGTTCCAGGGTTTGGATGAGGCTAATATATCCTCCTGAAATGATAGCCATGCTAAATCATCTTTGATGGTAGCCTTTGTGGAAGCTGCAATGTAACATCTGTAAGTGTTCCAAACAAGCAGGTGTTGCTGAAATGCTAATAAACATCAGACTTTGTGCAGCCACTTGTCAGTTTCTCATTTATCTAATCTTTTTGCTAAGTGTAGTTTTGAATCTCTGATTTTCACCAATTCTTTATCTGTACACTTTTGAAGGCAATGAAAGGTGTCAACTTCCTATCCATTGGCTTTTGCACACAAGATGATGGTGAATTAAGATTTTTTGTGACTTGTCTTTTGAATTGGTATAGAATGAAGCTGACATGCTTAAGTGTCATTGCCACAGGTATGTTTATCTAACAGACATGCTCATTCATCACTCCAATTGTGCTCAGTTTGTATTTCTCTTTTATATTAAGAAAGTGGACAAAAAATGAATTTTTTCAACTTGTCTTAAACTTGCAGAAAAATATTTTTACTCAAGATTTGTTATTTGTAGATTCAGGAAAATGCTGCTTTCTTGCCATGAAATTTTGCAACCATTTGCAGCTGGCTTCAAAGTTCTCCACAGTTGAATTGCAAATAGTTCCACTATTAAATATTATTCTTGCCTTTCTCATGACCATTTTTCTAAGAATAGAAAGCAATTTGCTTCATAGTTCATCTATCTAGTCCTCTATTTCTTTACTTAGCAGAGTTTCTTTCACCTTCTTGGGGTTGTGTTCTCTGGAAGTTGCCAGATTCAATGGTAACTTGAAGTTCCTTTTCATTGTTATACCATTCCCAAACTCTTTTGGGGTTGATTCCAAATTTTCTAGTAGTAGTCACTTTCCATTATTTTTCACAGAATGACATCCAATTAAAACTGATTTTGTAGCTTTGTCTTTGACTACAACTATGGGTACTACTGAATGCTAAAACTACAGTAAATACTACAGGCAAACACTAATAGAAAACAGCTGTTTTTATATGACAATGTATCCTTGGTAGGCAAATAATATCATTTGAAAGAAATATACAACAACACATTTCTCACATGTTACCCTAAAACAAAAACTTTTTCTAGAAACATATTCTCATCAATATTGTATTTAACCATGGTCTGAAATAGAATGAATTCAATATTAATGATGTAAATCTCTAAAACTTGGTAATTTTTATTTTAACTTATGATTCAAATAAATACTCTTGTGCTTATTCAGGCAGGCAGCTGTTTGAAGCCCAGCACCAATTCAAGGAAATACAGTATATAAATTATTCAAAAATAAAAAAAATTGAAAAACATACTCTCTCATTTTCATTGAGAGTCCACCAATCAGATTTTCTTCAAGAACAGCAATAGCAATATTTTTTCCAGTTTTTAGTAATTGATAAAAATTACCATGGGTTATTTTTAAAAATGCTGGGAAACGTTCCCAATTTATCCACGCACGAAGTGTAATATTTTTAAGACTTCCTTCTTCTTCTATTTAATGATATGAAACAAGATAAAATTTATAAGTATAGATATTCAATACTTGATAAATATATAAAAAAATAAAAATTTTACCATCAAATTTAAAACTTGTTTTATCTTTAAAAACATAAACAGATGCTTTAGTTGGTATTTTAAATCCATTGATTCGAGAGAGGCAAAATGTTGGAGCAGTATAGAAATATATCAAAGGTTGAAATTCTTCTGCTATTCTAGTATATTCATCCTGTTATAAAAATCAGTAAGTTATTGAAATTACAAAAATATTTATTAGTCACAAAATAATAAAAAGATGAAAAACAAATTATGATGAAAAGATTATTATTATGAACAAATATATAACAAAAAATATTTCCAACCTTTTGAATATTTAAATGACTTAATTTTTAAGAAAAGATAATTTAAATTTTTTATTTGCAGATACTAATATTCATTAACTTTTCAAGCTAATATAATATATATATTTAAAAAAATAAAAAATTATTAAAAACAAAAGAAAGCAAGTAATATTTTACAAGCAATATAAAAAAGTTGTATTAAATTTACGAAAATAAACATTTTTTTGAATATGCTTATTCCAATCATGAAGATATTTCTCTCAACCACTTCATTGCTCTTTCACTTTACTGGATTGTCTCAGTCTCTCATTGTACAGCCCTAGCTTCATGGTATCCTGATAAAGTGAAAGAAAGATGAAGTGGTACCACAATGAAAGACTGAGACAATCCAGTAAATTGATAAGTAGTTGAGTAAACATATTTCTTATTAATCATTAAAAGAATTTTATTTTTTCAGTAATTTGCAATAAATGATAAAATTAAGTTGTAAAAAATGAATAAATTCTTTTATTTGTAAAATGTGATTATTAGACATACAATACTTAAAAATTATAAAAAGTAACAATCTGAAAAAAATGTATATAACTTTTTTAATGTTAATAAAGCAATCATAATATTCCTTTGTTCTTCCTTAACAGAATACTTATAAATGATGATGTAATTTTTCCATGACATGAACTATTTATATATCTGTGACATACAATAGTTAGTGGTAGTCAGTATTTAAAAATTATAAACAGATTATTTAACACTCAAATACCTTATTTTGCTGAGAAAATGATTATTAAGCATTCATATTGTAAAAAGATTATTGTAACTGATCAATTAGTGTTAAAATAGTAATTTATATAATTCCTTTTTTTTATATATATCTATAATTAAATTAACTATTAAGATTTCTAAATTATTGAAAAATTTGCAATTATAAATTTAAGAAAAATTAATTAAAATACCTTTAATGCCACATTTTGATCTAAATTATTTCCATCAACATACAGAAAGAAAACTTTTTTATTATTTCTGGCATTATGAAATTCATCACAGCTTGGGAAATGACGTACTGGTGGACTAAAAATAAGATTAAATGCTTTAATTCTCTGTTTATCATTATTTTTAATTATATTCTATTATTAATAATATAAAATTAAACAATATTATATTTTTAGTGATAATATATTATAATACAATAAAACCTTGATTTAATGGATTAATCTGAGTGAGGAAATGTCCATTATATCATAAAGTGGGTTTTCCAAATGCGTGTTAAAAAATTGACAAATTAGTCAGTTTATCTGGTTTTACTTATGTAGATACATACCTAATTTTAATTACAAAAATCTATGAGAAATTTAATCTCATAGAAAAGTTTTCTACATGTATTATTGCTTATGTACTCACTATAGTTCTGAGACTGTAATAAACAAGTATATGATCTAAATCAAAATAAATAAACAAATATTTTTTTGGAAAATACACTTTAATTGTATTTAACTAAACAAATAAATAATGTTCTTAACAAGAAAACAAAATTTAAATTTGACAAAAACACAAAAAATTTCCTACTTATTTGTCTTTGGATGATGATATACTATATTTAGATACTCCTGTTGTGGTGTGATGTTAAGAGCAATGACTTATATTTTTAAAAAAATGTGTTAATTTAATTAGATATAAAAAGCATTTTAAAATTAACGGGATGTTAATTTTCTCATATGACATACAGATTGGAAATTTTATCTGTTAAATTGAGGTTTTATTGTAATTAGTAATAAAAAACTTTTGTACAAGTTTTTTATTACTAATTTACTAACTTATTTGAATAATACATTAAAATTGATGAGAATTATTTTATTTAAAAAATTGTTAGGTTCTTCTACTTTATATATGTATAAAAAATAAAATTTCTGGATTATATTATGTTACATGATTCTAAAGGAATAAGAGATTATCTAAGTGTTATCAATTAGAATCTAAAAAATAATTGCTTGATTTATCCCTTTTCTGTTGTCAATATTGAACATGATGCATGTGATTTCAGAAGTGCCTATTGACTATAACAACATATATTTAATAATTATTAAATACATGCTATAATTTAATAATTATGTTATGTTATAGATAGTGTCATCTGTACGTATTAATATATGGAAATGACTGAATATTTAAAATAATTTTTTGAAATAATTAATAAATTTATAAGTATTTAAATACAATAAAAAGTTATCAATGTTCGACATCTCTTCCCATCATACACTTAAGAATACAGTAACAATAACATAAAACAAAGAACTTTTGTTTTACAGATGAAAAGTGAAATGCATTACACTGAAACACACCATTATCTAATTGTTATAATCTTCCAATTTAGGTTTTAAAAATAAAATTTCTGTATGAAAATCTTTTTGATTAAAAATTACTATCATCAAATCTAATAAAATTTCAATTAAATAGTTAAAAATGTAAATTCTATCATTATGATGTTGCATGTACTGTAACATTCACTTCTTACATAACAAATAAGGCACTTTTAAAGTACATTTTCAAGACAATGTTAACAAAATTAAAATTGTCATATTAAATTTTAAATGTTAATATTTACCCATCCATTCTCCAAGCAAACTCAACAATTTCTTCTCTGACTCTATCTCCTTTATATTCAACTGTTTTATGACCTTTTATACTGAAAGAAAATGATTTCTGATATTATTTATATATAAAACATTTGTTAAATTATTAAATAAAATGGAAATGCAATAAAATTATTTAAAATTAACTAAGCATTGTTAAATACTTAAGACAATAAAATTAATTAAAGAATGACGAAATAAAATTAAATTGAAATAGTTTTAATTCAAAGAATAATATTTAAAAAAATTGAAAAATATAATTAAGTTTTCTCAATAACAATCAAATTCACAAAGTTGAATTGGCTAACTTGTACTTAAGTACAGAATGCCTCCTAAACTTTTTATATGTTAGTGTTGACTTGAGAGACTAACATATCATGTAACTTTATATGTTTCTTCAACTGTACATAAATAATTGATTTTAAGTCGTTTGTTTTAATGTGGCTCCTTGAAAATTCAGCAGAAACTGTACTTAATATCAACAAAATAAATTCACCAATTCCTAGATTTTGAATTATTAAAAACATTCTCTCAAAACTGTTTTGACTTACAGAAACACAAAATGCATTGAGTCTATGGGAGTTAAATCAAGACAACAATAAAATTCAACTTGTAAGAAATTTGAGTTGATAAAGTTTGACTTATCACAAGTCAACTGTAACTGTTATGATTCTGATAGTACAGGTGTATTCCAGGTTATGGAATATACATAATGCATTCCATCAAATAGTAGTTGTATTGCAAATTGCCATTTCCCATATATTTTTTTTTTATTTAAAGAAAGTTTTATCTCACAGATAGCTTTTGAGCAATGTGCAGAGGATGCCCTGGTTAAATTGTATGATACTCTATAGCAAAGAAAAAAAGAAGAGATTTCTGTCTGTTAATATTTCTAGATATCAAAGGCATATTTGACAATGTACAGTGGCCCTCAATTTTAAAACTTACCAGGATTTCTTAAAAGACAGAACAGCTGAGTTTAAATTGCACTTTGTTAAAAAATTTGCTCTCTAAATAAAGGCTGTATCTGGCATGGTATCTGGATCCCTATTCTGGAATGTTACTATAAATGAACTGCTAATTATATTACCAGACTATTTCTGTTCATTGGTTATGAAATCAGCCAAATCATTATCATTAAAAAAAAACAAAAATTATTGGTGATTTGTCAAATTTTGTTATAACTCAGACATTTTTGGTCTTTGTTTGAACACATGATGAAAAATCCAGACAGGTGGTAACACTTGGAACAGATGAAGAGTCATATCAGTGGGTATAGCTAAGCTGGATCATGGCAGGAGTAGAAATATATGATGGTCATATCTACAGTTTGTTTTATTGTGAGATGGTTTTAATCTGGGGTATGTCTGTTTTTGTTTTTTTATATAACCAAATAATACTATATAAATTATTTTAAAAATCAAATATAATATAATATATTTATTTTCTTAATTATTTGACTCCTTAATAAATAAATAAAAATATATACAAATTAAATTTTTTTCAGAACTGGTTTTTAGCAGATTCTTAAACACTTTTGGTGCATTGTAATTCTTTATTTATAAAAGATTTCCTCTTTATTGTAAAATTAAAATTTTATAAAAATTGACAAATACAATTAATCATTTAAAAACCTGAAAGAAAGAAGCTAATTAGGCTAATTAACTTTTAATTTCTCAGCTGTTATAAAATATAACATATGGAAAGTATGGTGATAGGTCAAATTTTGACCCTCCCTGGTTTTTTGATTTTATTGATGTTTTGTCACTGTATGACCCCAAAAATGTAAAATAACCCCTTTCAAAATTCTGTTTATATGTCTATTTTGCATTACATCTCAGGACTGAATGAACAAAATCATTTGAAACTTGCAGAGTTATTTTTATATAAATGAGGCAATAACACTTTCAAATGGTGTTTAAAGTTCCATTGGTGGGGAAATAGAGGAGGGTCATGTGTCATATCTCAAGTGGAGACAGACTTATTGAAAGTTTTACTCATTATTGGCATTTAAAATTTCTTTTAAATTTACATTTCTTAATCATTGTGCATCACTTATTGTAACTCCAGCAATCACCAAAAATATCTTTAACTATTATAGAACTTATGTTTGATGAATCTGTTTAATTTATTTAATAGAAATTAATATTAAAAAAATCAATGTAAATGAACATTACACCACACAATTCCCAACAGCTGCACCAACAATAAATCACTGATGCAAATGATGGAATATAAGCAAAGCTGTACTATCATATGTCCTAAAATCATATACAGTACAGCATCAATTATCTGAATACCATTCACCCGAAACATTGGTTAACTGAAAGCATTCTAGTTAGCAAATTCAAATTTCCGCTAATGCTTTTATGCTGCAGCATTCTCCCCTTCCCTGCCAACATAAACTGTAGGCCTACTTTAATGTACTACTTTATGTAAGATATGTATTTATAACATGTGTGATACAAAATATGTATAGTACAGTTTTGTGTTTAATATATTTTTTCGTAAATGATCAGTTATCCGAACAACCCCAGTCCCGAATTGTTTCGGATAATCAATGCTCTACTATACTGAATGTAGAGGTCCTATCATATTGTTATGCTGTGTACATTATAAAATTTTAATGAAGACTTTGATTTTGGCTGAAATGCATTTACTGAAGATTTTTAGTGAATTGTTTAATATTCTACATAGATCCTGATGCTCATATCCCTTACCGTATGGGCTATATTATATATGTAGATATTGAAGAGTTGGAAAGTTTGAAGTTTACAGTAATATATGCTGGTATTTATGTTAATTGAAAATAAACTGACTCTTTAATGTATATACAACAGATGTTATGTAGCTTCCAATTAAATGAGATGATAATATATCATTTATCTTAAAATACATTTTTCTTCATTATAGTGAAGTTTCTTCCTCTCTTTCAAAGAACAGCAATGAATTTCATTTGGTTTTATGTAGTATTTCTCTGAAAAAAAAATCTTCTAAATTGAGCATGCTAAATTGAGCAAATAATTATACTATAATTAACTACATATTAATTTTGTATTAATTTTTTTTATTTCTTAACATGCAAGAAGAATAAAGAGAATTTAAAAAAGTTTTTTCTATAACAATAATAATAATAAAATATTTAATTTCATTATCTTTTTTACATTGCAAGAAGCATATTTAATAATATTCTCAATGTGTATTGCCAATGTGTAATTTGCTGGATCATCCATTAGGCTATTTTAAGGCTAGTAAATAATTATATACAACTTAATTTGTCTGAACATAGATGATTATTTTGTTATCTCATGGTCAATTTAATAATTAAAAGTAAATTAAAATAAAAAATTAATTTATATCTAATAATTAATCATGAAAATTACCCAAAATGTAGTTTTTCTATATTTTCATCTTGACAAAAGACACAACTTATTTCTAATTAATAAATTAATCATGAGATGGTGATATGGACTAGCCAATCTCTAGCCAAATTAATTTGTATTTTATTATTTACTAGTCTTAAAATAGCCTGAAGGATAATCCAGCAGATTCTATGATAATACATATAAATTGAGTTGTTTATGTTATACAGGTATCCCTTGCTTAACATGGTATTTGATTAATGCATGAAATTAATTATGGCAATCTCTTTATGCATGCAACAGAAGTTTTAATTTGCATGGCTTTACCAGCTGTCTTTATTTAATATAGATACTGTATTTTGATTAACATGATTTTGATATATGCAGTAGGATCAAGGGATTAATTAACCGTGTTAATCAAGAGATACCTGTACAGTATATACTCACTGTATAATATTTCTTTTGTAATTTCAATTTTTTTTCTTTATCAATTAATGTTATCAAATTATTAAAGTTGTTTAGCTGTAATTAATTTCAACTTACATATAAATATTTCAAATAATTTTAATTTTTTAGTTGTAGTCAAAGAACATTATACTGTTCAAGTTTTAATTATCTGATCTAACTAGAACCAATGAATTAATTGATTTAAAGTAAATTTTTTTATTGGAAGCACAAGCAATTTTATTTTGTTTACAGAGTATTGGTAAATCAGTGTGATGCCAATGGATGATGCCAGTTGATACATTGTTTGATTTATGTTATTAAATAATGTTCAGTTAATCAAAGTTTCTGGATTTTATGCATGAAAATATTCCATGGATAAAAAACATTTAAAATAAAGAGAGAGAAAAATCATTAACAATTACAGAGTAATTATGAAACATTATTTGTTGCTATATTGACTAGTTTAAAGTTAATCAGGTTAATCATATTAAACTGTAAGATAAAATGGCTTCTCAATCTTATAAGTTCCACTATTCTTATTGAAAAAGATTAAAGATTTTCACTCTGATTTTTGGTTCTCACATAATATCATAATTAATGAAAAATTTTTAGAACTTCAAATATTATCCATTTTATTTATATGTTAATATGAATGAAGTTGAGAATGGGATGGATTCACATAAAACTATAAGAAAATTTTTAAACAATTAATATCAGTACTTTGGATTTTTAAAAACCAAGAAATAAATCTAGTCTCCCGATTCATCTTCTTCAACAACTCAAATATGCAATTCTCATAAAACAAGAAATATGTTTACCTAATGCAATATAATTTATATAAAAAATATAACTATATATAAGTTATTTATTATCATGTTATGACTATTACATAGTATGTACCAACACTTCTGGGACTTGGCTTATAGTTCCTTGCTTTAAATAGTTTAAAACACCAACATATAACCACATTCAAACTAATCTCCTTGAGCAATGATACATTTTTTCTGTATTGCTGTAAGCCATTTTTGCAACCACTTGTAATGCCTCCTGCAATGTTGCTTTTACCTCATTTAATGATTCAAAATGATCTCAGTCAATTTATGATGTTGTTGTTGTTGTTGTTGTTTGTTAAGTTACAGCAACACAAAACTTGGGCGATCTGCCTAGGGGGATGCCTTCCGGGAGGTCTTTTTAAGGGAAACTGCCCCTATTTAGGATGTGGAGAATGTGTGAAACCTGGATGTGGAGAAAACCTGGAAAACTCCACATGGCCAGCCCATCCAAGTGAGGCACAAATCCATGACTGAACTCCCAGTGTTCAGTGTATGAAGACTGCTTGGCCACTGGTGGGCCAAATTTATGATGAATGAATTCACCCAAATGCCATATATCCGAGTATAGAGTATATGCCAAGTCCCTGAATTTTTGTTAGGTACCACATGTATAATATGAATGAAATTGAAACTGTATATTTACAATAATATTGTAGGAAAACCATGAACTCCAAATTCTGTTGCAACATTAGTAAAACGTGTACAGTCAACTCTTCCAACTCGAATTTCTAGATCGACTAGTGATTGAGCAACCTGATTCCAAATTGGTTCAAGATTTTTGCAATGTCCACACCATGGTGCATAAAACTAGAAAATTTATAATATATTAAATTTGAAATAATATTTAAAAAATATAAATATTTTAAAATAACCATACTTACCATTACTAGCCAAACACCTTCATTCCTTAATTCCAAGAATCTAAAAAAATAAGTAAATAATATTAATAACAATAAAATGCTTCTCATATTTTACATTATTTGATTTGGATACAATAGACATGAAATACATGCTGCTTATTATAATCATGGATATGTTATCACTCATCTATTATCAGAATCAGCATGTTCTAAAACATATAAACTATTGATAAATAACATTACAAAACTTTTGCTTACTGTTATCTGTTTCATCAGTTGAATGTTACTATCTATCTATGTAAGTAAATTCAAACTTATCATTAGTTAAATAATTATCAGTATGTTAGATAATATGTTATGTTACTAACAATATGTTTGAATTTTACTTAGATTGTTAGTAACCATGAACTGATGTAACAGATAATGGTCAAAAGCGATGTCATTCCAATAAAAACATTAGCACAACAGTTAGAATAAATTTAAATTAAATCATCATATAAGATGTTTTACTCTTAACATGTTAAATGTTTGCATTAATCTTGCACTCAACATTATATACAGTACTATAGTTTAAACCAATTTCTGGCAATTATTACTTCATTTCTAGACTGGCTGTTTTCTGTTATTGAATATTCTGGCAAATAATACTAGATGAACTACTCAAATAATTATTATAATTAAGTTACTTATTAAATTATCTGATTAAGTAAAATTAGAATAATTTACAAAAGGACCATTGGCTAAACATTTGGCACCAGAGGTAAACTTAAATATGGCACCTTTTGGATAAGCCTTTCATTAATTTGTTACAAATTTAAAAATCATAATAAACACTTTTTATATAATACAATGCACATCATATTTCAAACTTGAAACTTTAATATATTTTATTAAATATAGATTTTAAAAAGTATTATTGCAAAACACCTTTCTTACTTTTTCTAGCATATTTCTTTAAATTAAGTAAAGAAATTTGCTAGAAAAAGTGAGCAAGGTGTTTTGCAATAATACGAGTATATAGAAGCTGTAGCTTACTGCACACAGGATTTTAAAAAGTTACATGCATAACAGTTTTCTATGAATTTATTAGTTTACCCATGTACAATTTTGAAATTTTTGCATCCCGTCAACTCAGCACTTCTGTCTCTTCCTTTCCATGACATTATCACTATAGTCTATTCTGATAGTAATTACAATAAGCAACACCTAATATATACTGAATATATATGTATATAATATTCCATACTTTATGTATCCAAATCAAATTTCAATCAAAAAGTAAAATTTTACAAATTTTTTTGGGAATTTCAATAATAACTTAATCTTTAAATAAAACGTGCTTGGCAAATAATTAGATAATTATAACACATCTTTTACGTTACCAAGATAGTTTTATTGAAAATTAATGTTTTTGGCCTATTCTACAGGCCATCCTCAGGTTGAATTAGAGAATTGGAACATCTGCATTCCAAAAATGGAATACATACATTTAAATTCAAAAATTGACAACATATAAAAATATAAGAAAATAACAGAAGAATAATGTATAAAAATATGCATATAAAATAAAAAATAAACTCAGATATAGTAATAAAAATAATAATCTACTAATATTACTTTGAACAAACATTAAAATAAATTCCTAATGTATAAATTATGAGTTCATGTTCCATGTCTCTAATGTTCCAAAGGCTTTTTCATGTTGTAAAGATTAAACTTGTAAATTACATTTTGGAAATGAAGCTTTTAGCTTCATCTCTAAAATAAAAATGATATATACAAGTTATTCACTTTAAAAGAATATATGATTTATAGAATATACATCTTGAAAAATGATTTTAAGATACACATACACTTGGAAGAATATATATTTTGGAGATGATGCTTTTAGCTTCATCTCAAAATGTATATTCTTCCAAGTGTATATTCTTTTATATTCTGTTTGTGATTTGGGTATGTGATATACTTTGGAATAACTTTTTTATCCTTTGTTCATTGCAAAAAAAAAAATAAAATGATAAAAAAAATTTTTTTTACTAAAAGTTTTAAAAACATTATTGTTGGAATAAATTGGATTTCTACAATTTAAAGAGATTTCTTTCTTGTCTGATTTATATATTAATAGTACAGATGCTTGATTAATTTTATTACCAGTAATTAAGAAAATCAGACATTTTAATAACTTGAACTTTATGCTTTGGTTATTTAATAAAAAAAAATATCAAGGAAAATTATGCACTTACTCAATATAACCATAAGAAATTGCTAAAACAAAAGTAAAAATGTTGCACAGCCTGGACGTCCAAAGTCACAATAAAAGACATATCAATTGCTCCATATGTAATTTGTAATTTAGAAAGTGTCATCTCAGACATTACATTTTTTCAACATTTCTTTTATTTTAAAATTAGTTATCACTTCACACAGACTTTATGATTATTGTAAAATCACTTACATGTTGTGGCATTACCTGATTGTCTTTTATTTTATTTTTTATTAGCAATTCATTGTAGATGTAATTATAAAATAAGTAAAATGGAAAAAACAACATACTTGAGATAGAACTGTCTGAACTGTATTAAGTATTGAAATAAATAATTATAATTATTTTATGCTTTCAACAGACAATGAGCTTCCTTATAAGGATTGCATGTGTTATAATCATTAAGCTATACAAAAGAATGCTGGAATTGTTTCAATCATTGTAACGTTGATTTATTTCACTATTGTATTCTAACTTGAAAATTAGTACATAATTAAAAATATTAAATATGTAAATGTTATTGTAATTTATATAAAATGGATTTCTACACTGTAGAGTTTAAAAAATGAAGCAAATACATTAAAATAGTTATTTAAAACTTTCCATAAATTAGAATAAAAATACTAGAAGACAAGCAGGTAACCTTTACAAATTCCAGCAAACCTTCATAAACAATTCTTACAAAATTTTTAAATTTCAGAATGTATAATGTAAAATAATCAAATGATTCTATTAGCAGAACATCATATTTTGGACTAACAGCACAAAACCTTTCTCACTAATTTCTAGCCTTATTAACTGGAGTACAAACGTTTTCGGCCTTCTTAATAGGCTTTCCTCGGGTACACTGTGGAGCGTCGGTTAGTGAGAAAGGTTTTGTGCTGTTAGTCTTAGAAATAGTTCTAGCTACATATGCATAGTAGTATCATATTTTGGTTTATAATATGACATGAAGCAAGAAGGAGGTCAAAAATATTTGTCTAATTAAATTGGTTTTCTGAAATTTATGAAGGTTATTTGCTTGTCTTCTAATTGTTATTTATTTCTGAATTATTATTTCATTTACTATAACTATTTATATAACATATTTGATTATTTCATTTAATATATTTTGATTTAGAATAATACTGACTAACTTTAAAGAAATTAAAATTTACACATCAGAAATATAGATTTGTCTGTCTAGATTAATGTTTTCCAAAGTAGTTTCAATGGACTCCTGTGGGTCTTTGGATCTGCTGATGGAGCCCATGGCAAATTAAAATTAATTTGGAGGTGTGTGGACAACATCAGGAGGTCCACAAAAGTTTTAATAAAAAGTAAAATGATTGTGACCCATTTCCATCAATATGAAAGTTAAAAATAAATAGTGATATATATATTGGCAGTCATTATTAAACTATACCATGCCATAAAGAATAGATACATAAATAATAAATTTTATATTTTTGTAATGTAATTTATAACCCAATTAGAAATAAATTATACATTTTTTTTATTTGTTTACACTATATTATATCCATTTTTCAAAAATAGGCACACTTTAGCTAGTAATTTCATCAATAAATATTACTTTAAATATCATTTATATTTTATTTTTGCATCACCATTCAAGACATCAAAGTTAAATCTGTAATTTTGCTACTACATAATTGTATAGTGTGTTTTCACTTGGCAGTTCAAGGTCAGGTTTTTGCTATGAGAAAGGGTCCATGAACATAATAAGTTTGGGAACCATTGGTCTAAATGATGTAAAATGAATAATTCATTTATACATGTTCTTTTAAAATGAACAAATTTATTTTTATATCATTGTTATAACAAATATTAAGTATATAAAAAATTAATTACAAACAACTAATTTTGACCTAGTTAAAGTTGATGAATTATTCATGATGACTTTTTATATTTTTATTGTTGCTTTTTGAGTAATCTCTTTTCCTCATAAAACTTTTTAGGAGAATTCAGTATAAAATATTACTTATATCATTCTAGTTTTAAAGTATGAGCAACTAAAACAATATTACTACTTCAGCCATACATATATTTTACAATTGAACTGATATACAGATTAAATGTATCTATCATATGACCATACTATCCTAGACCCATAGCTACAGGGGCTATGAGTTGGCTAAGCCTCTTCAGCTTAGTCAGTAGTGTCTATATGCAGTATATATAATATATACTTTCAATTTTATCATGTAAACTTAGGCTACTGCCATTTATTTTTACACTTAAACTGTAGCTAATAGGCAGTGCTGGCTGGAAAAAAAACAGTCACAATTTTTTCAATTCGCTCCTCTAGCCCCCATGATTCATTCCCGGCTACAGGACTGTACTATCCTATTTTTCTCTTTCATAAGAAGTATCAGATTTTTCTTTCTCATTGTCTATTATTGTGACTGATAGTCCTTTCCCAAATTTTTTCATGTACTGTACATCTGATTGGATTATACTTGTATATTTCACATATCTAGACTTTAAAATGTAATTGTTTGAAAACGGTTTAAATTTTATTGTGCCTTTTATATCTTAAGAAATAATACAACAAATCATATTCCATAGTCTGTTATAAATTTTGAGTTACCTATAAATGTATTTGTTATATAACTATTAAAAATTACTTTGTTTTCTTGACTATTGAAAACATTAAAGTGTAGTTAATTTACTGTTTGTGAGTGCCAATAAAGTAGCTTGGATTTAATGAATTTAACTACTTAAAATAATATTGTAATTTATGCTAAATTTAGTTATTTGATTATTTAATGTTTAATTTAGTATTAAATAGTAATAAA